CAACACTATCAATAACCACTTGTTTCTCATGCGCGCTGCTTTAGATTAATGTGGAGGCTTCCGGTTTTATTATGTGCCTTTTAAGTGGCTCTGTTAATAACTCCTGATAATAAGGCATTTAAGTTTGATGATGATGGTGGTAATTAAATTAATGCAGACTGACATGGACTTTTATTTTTTAAAAGATGGTTTTGAGAACAGGCAGCTATTATATGATACTTTTATAGAATAAAGTGACGTTTTATGAAAGCAACAGTTTGAGAAAAAGTTTGTCAGAAGAATGACCTTCACATTTTCCTCTAATTTTTTGCAAGAAGAAAAAAAAAATCAATAATCTTTTAAGACTGAACAAAGTTAACAATTATGATTTAATAGTTATAACAACAATACATGATAAATCAGTTTTTTATTTGTACGGAATCTTATTCTACTGGAGTCCAAGGGTCCAGGTTTTCTTTTAATATGTGGGGGGGTACATATGAAATGTAGATATGAGGGTCCTCGGGCAGAAAATGTTGAGCATCATACACTTAATTTCTTGCATTCTTGTGAATTTTTATGCACCTCCTTATTCCTTTCTGCTCCATTTTAGGGTGTTTTAATTGTGTGAAAATAAAAATACTGGGGGGACAAATGCACATGTTCTAAATGCTGAAGTGAATGTTTCCCCTGTGTCCCCCCTGAAATCTACACCTTTGCTGAAGTTAATAGCGAACTCAGGAAAATAAACACAAGAATATAATAATTACAGAAATTAATACGAAACAGAAAAGACTGTAAAGTCACTAACTAAACTTACTGGATAACTTGAGTTATTTAGTAACCTTGATGCAGATCTAATTCTTCAAATATTTTGCATAATGTTCAGCGTAATTGCAGTCCAGTGGCTCATTGCAATAATGAAATGTGACCTTTATTTGTTGATGGTTGTTGCATGTGCTCAAGGTGAAACATTCCTGTGGTAATGATTGCACTAATGCAAGAAGGGGTCGAATAACAGCAATCAACAGTTTGGCCACAGAAGTGTCATTATACCTTAAAAAATCTGTTGCGCTTATTTTATTTTGTTTACTTGTTCATTTTTTAATCATTTCATTCTGGGACTTTTTGTGAGGATGATGTGAGTGCCCTACTTCTTTGTGCTTGTTATGAGTTTACATGTTGTGGAAGAGAGCTGTAATTGATAGGTCTCAAGGTTTACATCACAGCAGTCTTTTTTGTCATGCATTCACTTCGAGAGCAGAAGTTCAGGGCAGACATTGTCTAAGAAGGCCATGTTCCCCGCCTCAGGCTTCGCTGTGATCCCACCTTGAACTTGTGCTGTCAAAGGCCCAGGCTAAGGGGAGCTGGAGATTTGAATTGCTGTGCATGTTTGTGCTTGCTTTAACCCCATATGCCTTTGCACCCAGCCCCTCTTTTCCTCACCATATTGTTCAAATTCTAATATGTGGCCTACCTGGAGAATTCCTCCCCAGCTCCTCTTGAAATTGAACGCTGGACCCTAATCCTTCCCCTCACACACATCAGGATATAGTTAATGTAAAGTGTAACCAAATTTCCTCCGCTAAACTAAAACATCTATATCAAATGAGAGCCAAGTGCCTCTTCCAAGGAAAGGGGCGTTGAGTACTGATAATTTTAAGTGTGAAAGCTATTGGATAATTCACAGAGGCATTCGCAGAATTAATGGTTAAAAGTTTTATGCGTCATATGGTTCGAATTTCCTGGTAAATGTGATGAAATGACCAAGTCCCATTTTAGAAACAGGAAGGTAAAAGTAAAAGTTTTGCCTCTGCTTTCACAGTCATGGATACTCTTTCTTCTCCTATTCCTGTTAGTGCTTTCGGTGATGTCAGTTTTTGGGATTTATTGTAGAGTCTTAGATTTGAATGAAGTGATTCAGAGTCACACAGGTGTTCAAGAGGAAAGCCTGGTGAGGGAATAATGCAAACAGCTGAAAGTTTCATGTAACTGTATTTGAGATGAATGTGGTCTAAAATGTTGAGAATAATCAGCGACATGTCCACAGACTTTTCGAAGCACAGCTTCTTCAGTCGTACTCGCCATCACCCTTTTTCTAGTTTTGGTTGAGGGCTAGGCTCAGCAGTGTTAGTCATGTTTGTTGTGTCAGAGGAAACCAGGTGAGTTTTTAGGGGCCCTGCAGAAGAGACCAAGTGCACTGGTGACAGAAAGAGAGACCAGGGCTCATTGCTCTCTGACAGAGAGACCCTGTCCAGACCCTGTTCTGCAGGCTTGCTTATGAAGTACAGCTTGTTAGGAAAACAGCACTGCTTAGCATAACACAATATTTGAGTGTTTTGACTGTGCTTGAGGAAATAGTCTGTAGCTCTGAAAAAGACACACATGTACATGGTGTATGAAGGTATTCATGCTCGACACGTGACATGTAGCAGTGACTTGAATTTCGGGTTTGTTTTCGTGAATTGATGATGGTGGCAAGTGAAAGTAGAGGAGTAAACTTTGTGTTGACAACAAGTTTGTGAATGACAACTGTTGGGTGCAGTGTCAGTTAAGTTGTTCCAGTCATTGTCAAGAGCACACGTGATAAACAAACACTGAATGGTGATGATTAAAATATTGGCTTCTTAACAGACCCCTTTGAGTTGTTTTGATTGATTGTAGCAGGAGAAAAACAACAGAAAACAATGTTAACTTTAGCTTCTTAATCTACAATTTCTTCCATTAAGCTTTACTTCTGTGGTGCCAAATAAAGATGCATCATGTTTTTGTACACCTACGAGCTTTCCTACTTCACCCAGGCACAATTCAAATAGTTTATAAAAGCTTAATTTTTCTTTTGGAGTACAAAATGAGTCTCTATAACCCTCAGCACCCTGGACGTTCAAACGTCACAGCACTTATGGGGCCTTCATGTATGGAGTCTGAATGTTTATTGCCTGTTTGCATGTCCCGTATTGTTAGACCTGTACTTGTCAGTGTAAAGAATCTTCTGTGGCTTAAAGATAAAGACGGTCCCCGGGTGCTGTGCTGTGGCTGGGGATTAATAGAGACTACTTCAATACTTTCGTCCTCACTTAACATCTGTTAAAACATCTGTATCTTGGGCATCTGTAGAGCTGGCATGTGGTGACTGCTCCAAGGTTGTTTGTCAGTGATGAGGATAGTTTACACAGCAACGATAAGACCCTGAAACAGAAATGCACTGTGATACAATAGCCAGCGGTCATTAAATATGAAGTCCAAAATAATACTTTTTCTTACTCAATTTACTGAGTACAGTTATTTAAAAAATAAGTTAGACTTGTATCTGTGTCAACACAAACATCCTAATGAGAACTGCTTAAATAAAATAAAGAATTAATGAAACAATTATTTTAAAGAGGAAGTCACTGATTAAAGACTTAGTAAGATAAGTGCCAGCTGTTGGCACTTGGCAGCTTTAATACTCTTTGCAGTCCCTAAAATGTATGTGGTTTTTATACCAGCTATACTTGTTGCACTGATTACTATCTCATATAAAAATATAAATATATTTCTACATTTTCTGCCTACAATAATTGAACAATATTGCTGTAGACACTGTTTCCAGGAACAAATATGTAAACTGTTGCAAAAGTTGGTATAGATATTTAAATGTGAGAGAGGCATCACATGCATCAAATGCCACGATTGATTAAAGTGCACATCAGAGTTTTTAAATGTCATGTCATTGGTTTGATCTTGAGAAGTAATTAAAAATGCACCTGTTTCTTCTCTTGTTTTTCTCTCTGACATCCTGTCATAAATATAGTTAGGCTGTTTTCAATTTATTTTTAAAGCTGAATGCAGAATGCATCTTTATGTGCATGATTTAGTTTCTGTATTTTTTTCTAGGTATTTACAGAATTTGTTGGCTTTTAATTTTAATGTGACTCTGGTTTCATTTTATTTTATTTTTTTAAAAGAGCTCCTCTCTGCTGGGAATGTTTGTCCTCTTTGGCGCTCTAAATTATTAAAGCATCTAAAACAATAACCAAAGCCATTGCACATTTGACATGATGCATTGCTTTGGCTGTAGTGTGCTGAACAATTACTCACATAGCACAGATTTGGCAGTAGCTGCAAGTAAACAAATAATTTTAAAGTTGTGTTTAGAACAAATAAAGTACCCCTTGTATGTATCCGTCAGGCAATGCTGCTCTGCCACCCCTCCCTTTCTTTTTCTCACAATGAGATGTCCACTAACTGAAAATCCTAATTAAATCCTAAAATGATGACTGCACGACTGAAATGTGAAAACAGAATGTAAGTTTAAAAAAAAGAAGGTATTTGATGACTTTTTAGTGCCTTCCATTTAGAGTTCCCTTCATCTCACTGCATTACTAAATTAGTGCAAATGGATTTTTTTACGCTACTAATGAGGAGAAATTGTAGTTTCCAGACCAGTGCCAGATGTGTTACACCAGACTGTGTCACTTTGTGGTGACAATAAACATTTAAAGACACCTTGCTGGAACTGTGGTTTCAGCATGGTGTTGGTGTTTGGTCCGACATTTCAAACATAGTTTATCGTGTCATTGTTTCCATCCGAATTGAATCTGAAACACATTTCTATTGTTCCTAGATATGAATCTGTGCATCTGTTGGCCCAGCAGAAATGAATGTTAAATGAGTATAACAGTAAATTTAAGAGTGTCATAGAAGTACATCACTTTTTGTTGTTATTTCTGTTCATGACTGGCTTTAGAGCAGATAATAGTCGCTATGATTATGTGTAATAAATACAAGAAAGTCCAGTGTTTACAGTCCTTTTATAACCCAGTCTTTGCCTTGATGTCATTTTAGTGGATCCTTTATTACTGTGGTGTGAGAAAGCTGTTTATTACTGAATATAACCACACAGCTGTTTCAGGTGCAATGGCAATTTTTTTTGTGTAGCGTGACACAGTGAGTGTGTTTTTCCTCTTGGAAGCAGGCAGGGGAAACTCAAGTCATTCACTTCCTCTCTCCGCTTTCTCCTTTTGTCTTTGTTTTTGCAGTTTTATGAGAAGGTGGCCAGAGTGATGAACTCAGACCAGGAAAGGCCGTTCGTGTGCAACGCTCCTGGCTGTTCTCAGGTAAGTGTGTCGAGACCAACAACACAACACAGTGTGTACGCGTGCATGTCTGCCTGTAATATGAAGAGGTGTACATTGAGGAGGCCTGAGGAGTGGGTTACTGCCTCACGCATGGGGGAGAAACAGAATAGCATGGAACTAAGTGCAACACAAAGTGTAAATAACGCTGCAGGTGTTAAAATACCTATAGAAAAAAGTGCTCTTTGAAGTCAACACCAGGGTCTTTTAGGATAACGAAGAACAGCAGATGCTATTTTGGGTTAAAGCTTCAGTGTACGGGCGTATCTGTGTCAGAATGTTTTTGTCTTCTACATACAGTTCTTACAATTCTACCTTTAAAAAAACTCAACAGCGATTCCCCACGGAGGACCATCTGATGATACATCGACACAAACATGAGATGACCCTTAAGTTCCCCTCCATAAAGAACGACAACATGTTATCAGGTGAGTTACGGCTGCATCAATACAGACGCACACCCACTACCTCAGCAGGGCTCACAAGAAACTCGTAGCTCATTTGCAGGTGTGTGCCTCGGTGACTCATCCTCAGACTCACTTGTCTATCATCAGAAAACTTCACGGCGTGTCTATACCAGTTGTTTACAGTAATGTAAATCATATGTTACACGTCACCTCGCAGCTCAGCTTTACTCCTGCTATACCACTTACACGCACTTCAGGAGACGCTGACGTATGACTGTAGTCTTCATCACGTTAAGCTAAAGTGTGATTAGTGTTTGCCTATCATCAGAGGTGTCCTGATCTTACTATAGAAGGAGTGGGAGATGGTTTACAGAGGTTTTATGGATGCTGCCTCAGGTGACATACTGACGGGCACATGAATCTACAGTGCAAAGAAACACCAAATCATAGATTATGTACTGAATACACAAGTGTCAACCCAAGGCCAATCCATAAGTATAGATCTCCGTTCCTAGAAACGGCCAGGCCACACTAGATGACAGCACCAGCCACACCGCAGAGATTGTGTCTTCTTTATTATTTACACTCAGCGGACAGCGGGATCGGATTTTCTAGGCCGGGTGTTCTTATCGTCTGAGTTACAGCTCTGACCATTTCTCTCATTGAGACCTTGAACTCAGGATGAAATACTCAGTGCTTATATAGTGAGTTACAGCTCATCCACACATGGTAACAAGCTCTAAGCTGGTCACCAAAACCGTCTTCTCTTTAACTTATAGTGCTATAATTGTTGCCCTAGAGTTAACCTTCTGCTCCACTGACTCATAAGTGTTATCCTCACCTAAAAACAGACATTACATGCTTTTTTATTAATAGAACTTGAGTTCTCAGAAATGGAAAACGTGTATTTGTAGTAAAACTGTATTTTGGGCACACAGGTCATGATGAAAGTTTGAGTCAATCCCCAGTCTAGCCAGAATGGATAAACATGCTTTTAGCCTTTGAAACAAGCCTGATCCTAAAATCACCTTCGACTGTCTGAAACCTGATCTCTGCGCACCCCCCACAACGTCAAGTTGAATACCACAGCTCAACAAATGAGACCCCCACTCAGTATGTGGGATCTGTGCTTTATCAGTTGAAATGGGCTGTCAAGCGCAGTATCTCTCTCTCGCTAACAGAGTGGAGGTTATGTTTTCTTAAAATCATCTCAAATATGTAACAACAATGTACATTCTTTACTCTTCAGTCTTTATGAACATCTCCACTGGCTTTCTTTAAGTCTTTAAGGTCTAACTGTTGCCCACATAAATAAATGAATAATAAGAAATAAACAGCTTTTTAACATTATGCTGAAACATTGGGGCTACAAAATACAAGACAAAGATCAGCGGACAAGAGAACTGATTTTGCAAATGAAAGGTTAAACAGAGAAAATTACACAAGATACAAAAACAAACTGTCAAATCTGGTAAATTCAGTGTGATATCTTTGCTTTTAATTGGTCAAACATATACTGTACTTCTTTCTAACATGGAGAGAGTGTGCGAAATGCTGTTGTGTATAATTTTTTAAGCTAACTCTGGTGCAGTACTTAGACTTAAACAGCATCTCCTGGCTAAACAGCTCTCCTTATCTAATGATATTTAGCTTGTAAGTAGATGATTTAAGTGTCATATACAGTCAAGAAGATCATATAAAGCATATACTACAATGAGTGTTAAAAGTTAAATCATATGTTTTATTATCTAAGTGTGTCACTTTAATAGTGATGATGCTGTAGAATGATGGAAATACTATTTACAAACAGACTGCTGCAGGGATGATGTTTTTCTGTAGGCTGACATGGAGGATAGCATCGCCCTGTTCCCTTGTCAGAAAGCCTATGAAATTTTTCTGAACACCACTTTTATGATTTTTGAAGCATAAATGCAAACCCAAGAAATAAAAAGCTAACGTTAGGCTATAAACAGACTGCACCACGATCGCATGACTTCACCGTCGCCACCACAACAAAGCTGTACAGCCGTGTTCAGCGTGATGACATTCTCTTGTCTCATGTAGCCTCTTGTTAGCAACCACCTTTTTTAAGACACATGAAAGCTTCAAAATTCACAAGTGGAGTATTTACTGATGTATTTTATGTTGTAGAACAAAATGTGAAAGTCTCTTAAGCTTGTGTTAACCACAGACCTCATTTAAGGCATTTAACCAAAAACCCATTCAAAAAAACCCCTGACTTATAAGACAAAGGAACCTGGAGTGCTAAAATACTAACTCATTTCCAAGACTCATTCCTGCACCACTCTATACCATGATATTTTTCTAGCACCATGATGATTTTTGTAGGGGTTGTTTTTATTTTAGTTTATAATAGGTCATGGTCTACTCAATGACTACAACTCAATAATGAGACATTTTTAATTTTACCTCTCTCTACAGGACTTTTGGTTTGGATTTTCACCAACTAGAGCCGTGCCTGTTTGGTGTTGTCATGTGTTTTGTATGTTTTTGTTGTTGATGTTGTTGTATTTGTGGTGGTGGGATGTTTTTTTGTGAGTATGTACTGTCATGTGTATAATAGTGTGTTTGGTGTGGACCCCAGGGGAGAATAGCTGCTGCTTTGGCTACAGCTAATGGGGATACTAATAATTAAAATGAAATGAAACCTCAAATTCTAACATTTATGTTTCATATAATACGCAGTCCCCATAATTAAGCATGCTGCTCTATTCCTTGTCCTTTAGTGTTTTGTTGTCCATGATCACAAGTTGAATTCAAAGCTAAAACTTAACAAACCTCTCCTTGACTTGCAGACCAGACACCCACACCCACACGCTTCTTGAAGAACTGTGAGGAGGTGGGGTTGTTCAGTGAACTGGACTGCTCAATTGAGCAGGAGTTTTGCAAGGCCCAGGAAGAAGAGGACAGTAAACAGGTACTGCAGAGTAAAGAACAAAGCCTCAGGCTGAAAAAAAAATAACAGAAGTGAACCCAAAGCCGCAGCCACACAAAGGGATTAGGTCAGATAGTTGTGAACTGTTATCTGTTGCTATCATCAGTCATGCCATTAACAGCAGCCCACACACTATGAGCTGATGCACACACTTTTAATAGATTCAAAACACCCAGACCTCATGTAACCGCACTCTGCGTGCTTGTTAAAACGCCGATAACCACATCTATGTACACACCTCTGATATTTCTGCCACATTTCTCCTTTTCATCCAAAATGTTGTTTGTCCATACACCATGTCCTGAGATCCCTATCAGTCTTGTTGACAGTGACAAACAGGGCGAGCAGGTGGAGATTTGTCATTCATCACAGATGAGGAGAAAAGAGATCAGGTTCTCCACCTGTAACTTCAAACAGCTCTCCGTGCATCTCTCAGGGAGGGAGTCCTATTTCTTCCCAGACCTACAGACAGACCCCTGAGACAACTTTTGTGGCAGCAATAAAAGACCTGGCCAGACATTCTCACATTTGACAAAAGACGTGGTCATTTATGCATTATAGATCTACCTCGAGGCACCTTCACCTGAAACATGGGTGCTAGTCAAATCACCACAAGACAGACTGCTTATCTCATGTCTGGAGAGATGTGCAGTGCACGCTGCAGCTAAGCTGTCGTCTGGGTGGTTTGGCTCTGGAGCTCGTCTGTGCTCAGGTCAGCCTTGTCTAGCCTCCCCAGCCTGTGTGGTTTATGATGGGAGGCTCTGCTAAGTCAGCAGGAGGCGAGTCGGAGCAAGACTGTCCGTGAGTGCATCGCACAATAAGCAGGGATTGAAAGCTTCAGGAAAACAGCAATAAAATATTAATTTACAGAAACAATATGAAGAGAAGTGGTTGATTTAGTTCATTCGTAAACCTTTAATTTCCTCCACTGCGGCATGTATATTTTAAGGTCAAAACATGTTGTCAGGTAAACTATTTCTAAAATGTGACTGCCTGTATTCTCCTTTCTATATTTGATAATTGCCAGCAGCTGTTTCACATTTGACTTCATGCAAATTACTTCAACTTGCTGTTTGTTTTATGCCAAGATATGTGCATTGAGCTTATAGATATATTTTTAATTGTGGTACAGGCTTATTTTGGAACGTATATGTGGTTACATGTAACAGATGTAAAACAAACAAACTGTCCTGCTGTGTAAACAACAATAAGTAAACCTGGTCTTCATTAGACTTTCAAAGTTTCCTCAACTCAGAAAAAGCCTGTGGATGATAGTTTACATAGTTCCTCATTACTCATTCAAACAGTTGTAATGCTTGAGTTGTGCTTTAAATGCAACCTGCTGTGAAGAATGTGACACTCTTGACAGATTTCTAATCTTGTGTACTCATTTGCTTTTCTTCCTCACTGCAGAACATCTCACTGCACGGCCAGGCAGGCCAAGGCCAGCACCAGCAGTCCCACTCACGGATGGGCAACCATGATACCAGCATAGTGATCCAGCAGGCCCTGCCCTCTCCTCAGTCCAGCTCCGTCATCACTCAGGCTCCATCCACCAACAGACAGATAGGGTGAGTAGGCCAAGCAGTCCAAGAATCCAGCAGAATACCAGAAAGTTAGAGAGAATTTATCAGACATGGAAGAGCAAGAGAAGTTTTTGTGTTTTCAGTTGTGTGAGTTTCGTCTTTGTGTTGAATGAACTGCTGACAGACTCAAAATCACGCTCTGATAGGAGTGAATCCTCTCACCTCAAGTGTGCCCCTGATATAGCGACAGCCTTAGGCTCAGCCTGGTCCTTTTGTGTCCTTGCCGATTGTCATCCCTCCGTAGTCTCTGAGGTAATGTCAGGGTTTTGTTACATTTGGAGCAGTATGTGTGTGGGGGGCTGGCAATTCATGTTTTGCTGCTCATTCAGTATTGTCCCATAGCAGAGCATGCCAAAGAGGGTCCCAGAGGACAAGATGAGGTCATTGTTGAAGCCTTAGCTGTGACTGCTTTTACAGCGGTTTAGCATTTCATGCTCTAAAATAGTTCCTTTCACTGTATGGGAATGTCAGCCACAGCCTAGGAGCTCTGTTTCTCTGATACCTTTTCGCTGCCATGCTACAGGTGTGTAAGATATAAATAACTGCAGTCTGTGTGCTGCGCTGCTTCATTGTTTACCTGCAATGTTTAGTAGTCAAGGTGTTGCATACTGTTTGTAGTGAGGCTGTGTGATTTTATAAACTCTGCGTACTGTCTCGGGTCTTTTAGGGTAATGTCTTTCCCTCAACTGACTTTTTGTCTTTATATATCAGGAACATAATCATTACCACACAAAGATTTACACACACTTTTTCCTTATGAAGACACCCCACTGACCTCATTCATTCCAAATCCCTTAACCTCAACCACCTTCAAACTTGTGCCAGGGCTTTGTTACTGTTAACCAGACCCATGGCAAGCAAGTTAGACATTGAGATGGCTCAGTGTTAGGCCCTCGCTGTGTCGAGGTTGTCCTGTGTAGATTTACAGCTTGAGGAGCTAGTGAATATTGGATGGGAGGCCCATCACTAAGCCTGACTGACACCCCGTCAGGCTCTTTGTCGAGGACCAGGATGGAATTTCACCCCCTTGGAGGAGCAGCAATCACTGCCAGTAACAGAGACTTTGCTGGGCCTGCTTCACCTGAGTTTACCTGTCATTAAAAACTCATCAGAGCCAGTATGTCATGTGGCGGTGGTTTTCGGCCACAGAGTGGCACGTAAGTCTCATCTACAGTTATCTGAAGCACATTATTTGAGGCATTCCCAAATAGGGATGGGTATCTAGAACTGGTGCTAAATCGGTTTCTGATTTGTCGGCACCAAAATATCGATATGCTCCTGGACAAACTTTGCTGCCATCAGTATTCTGTAATGTTTATTCATTCTAACAGGGCTGCTCCAAATACCAGTTTGGGGGCATTGAAAAATAATTGCAATTCATCAAAGCTTTGACAGCACCTAAAATAACTTGACTATTAGCTACTTTGTTAGCATGCAGGTCGTACATTAGCCATGATAGCTAGAAAAAAAGAATACTTTGCAAGACGACTGAGCTGCTACTTCCAGTTTTCAGGTGTTTTGCCAAGCTCGTTGTGTATTTGTGACATACCAGTTTCTTTTGGTATATCTGGAGTCCTCTTTGCAAACTTTGAAACTATACCAGCTCTGTAAGCCTGTCACATGTGGTCAAACTGACCCAGTTTCAGTCGTGCTGAACTGCTAGTGATTGACATTTAATGAGAGCAAGTCTGAGTCATAAAAGTATCACTAAGTTCAAATGACCTTGTCTGAGAAACACTAAATAATTATAAGTGTTGATGCATAATGAATAATGTTGGATAACCTCGTTTTAATTCAAGGGATTTTTGGAGTGATGCATTTATATAAATGTTTTTAAAAAATAGAGCAATTGAATACTGATTTTGACATTGATTACCGTGGCAGCGATCAACGCTTCAAAGCATTCGGGTCAGCCTTGTATTCTAATATATCATATTTAAAATTCATTACTGCCCCTAATGATGACAAAGCTACAAGTGAGGCAATTACTTTAGACAATGCATAACTGTGTGTTACCATTCTGCACTCTCCAAGCATGGCTGACAAGGCAAAACATTCAAAAATGTGGGCTCACTTTATGAACGTCACTTCTAAGTTGTTTTCTATAATATTGTTTAAGTTTAGTTTCTGGTAGTGAAGCAGCATTATGGCACATCACCACCAGGAATTTGTTCACCCAACCTTGTAGCAATTGCTCCTCACTCATTACATTTACAGGAAACTCAGAAAACAACTTGACTTGTTATTTCTGAAAAAAAAAAACCCCAGTAATAATAAAATAACTTTTGAATCTTTTCGTGTCTATTTTTTTCACCAGAGTTTGGAGAGTAATATCAATAAGAGCATCGATAAGTATTCATACAGAGAACAGTTTCAATAAAATTCTAACGATACCCATCCCTATCAAGAGACACTGATATGTGCTAAAACTGCAGAGGCGTCACTTGTTTACTAGGACAGTGGAATCCTCACACATGAATAGGATGAGTACATTTACACAAGAGGAATCTGGAAATGTTCACATCAGCAGGAAAATGGGTTGAGGAAACCCCTCCATTGAGAAGCAGTGCTTCCACAGGAAGCCATTAGGGCCAACCAAAGGCTCTGTGCACAGGGTCTCTCCACAGGAACTTCCCACACACAGAACAAGCCGGACACTTCACAGGCAAGCTGTGCTCTGTCCAGAGTTAGGGAGCCTACTGAAGGTCAGATCAGGGGTTCCCCTGTGGTCCTCTCAAGCGACCTCAACTGTAATCTCCAGTATATTTTGATTTCACATCCCTTTGTGAAGTGAAGGCAGTCAAAACTTGTTAATCCACAGTGCATTAAATCTTCACTGTGCAAATGTTTATGCTTAGTTTTAACCATACTTATGTCAGAGACAATTAGGAAAAAGTTATCCTTGTCAATTAATCTGCTTTGTTAGTGTGTGTGATCATTGCAGGCCTGTAAAGCTTTTAATCTTGACACACTTTATGGAGCTCTGTGGTGAATGTATCTCTGAATGAGAAGAAATCACCAAACAAAATCAGTTTAATCTCAACTCCATCTGCTTCCTTCATTCTCGGCTGTGCTGATCGCGCAGCGTGAGCATCCAATGAATTAGGATAACAAGTCATTTTCATTGCTCCACAATGTTTACTAAAGAGCTTTGAGGCTTGGAATCAATTAGGATTGGCTTTCCTCAAGTCCATTTACTTTAGGGTTGAGCTGGGCCTGCAGCTGTGAAACCTGAGGACCTCTCTCTTTTTCTCTCTCTCTCCTTCTGCTCCGAGTCCCTATACAAGGTCTTTGGGGAGCTGCACTGACACAAACCAGTGTTAAAACCAGGCATAAGAAACAGCCAGCAGATCTTAATGTCACGGCTATCATTATCATACAAAGCGAAGCTGTGTCCAACAGATTTGAATGCTTTCTGCTTTTCAATTATAAACATCTGGTGCTGAGTTATGTCAGAGTTAAATGCGTTGGACATTACTAGTCAACCATGTGAGATACAACATTCTGTGGAAACCTCAACCTTTTGACTCGTAAGAGGAGATGTGCGGGTGTGGGCATGGGGCACTAAAAATGACATTCCTCCTTTCAGTAGAGGAACTCAGTCCAGCGTTTCCATCACAAAGCACAATCAACCTGACTGCAGCTGGGTGTAGTGAGGAGTGATTACAATCCAGATGTGGTAAAATATCTGCTCAGTTTATGATGATGTGGTATTTGAATACTTATTTTGATTTTGGCTGCTTATAAAAACAGGTGCTTATATTAAATGTGGGCAGTTAGCTTAAATGAATAATTATAGAGAACACTGAGAACTGTGTGAACCTAAAAGGTGCCATCCTCAAAACCACAGACTGTTGATGTCAGTGGTTTTGGTTTGTCACCATCAGCAAATTGATTTTAAAAAATATCAAAAGAGAAGTTTGTATCGTTTTATTCTTATGCAAATGTGACATAGACAGTTTATTTTACGTTAAAGTACTCCACCATACCTGAGTTATTTTTCTTTCAGTTTTCTTCATGGAGCATTTATCTCTAAACTTAAATGCGTCTTGCTGGTGATGTCCCACCCTGTGCATACAACTTTAAATTTGGCTGCATGATCACCGTGCAGAGCTCTGGAGGAAGTCGGTGTGCAGTTTGATTTCCCATGCTGCTTTAAATGCACAATATTTTCACACCTCAGAGCCACCAGCCACTTGTGTTCCTTCTTTTTGCCTTTAAGGGAAGTAGCAAAAATAGATGCTGATCTGCGTGCCTGCTGAGCAGCGGGGTGTCATGCAAAGCTCAAAGTGTTGGATGACACATTTGCTGAGAACTTCCTGTGTTTTCTCAAGAAGATTTGGTGATATGCTGATTGATTATTAAAGACCACCGACATAAAGATCTTAATTTGATAACTGACATGCTCTCTGTTCTCTTCACTTTCAAATATTTTTTTAAAAAAAGCACATTTCTCTTTGCTTGATATACAATTTTAGATAATAGCTCGCACTTTCTACAAAACGTAAAGCTAAGGGTCACATCTGGATAGCAAATAAAATTTGATTAATGTGCAAATGCAATTTGTGCATGGTCTGTCACATACAGTATAGTTTGATCCTGATGTAATATATTTAGTAGTTCTCTAAGTTGTTTACATACTACTTCTGCTGTTACAGTACAGTAAGTTAATGGTAGTGTCGTGGTGCTGATAGTCTTCATAATTTTGATTCTAGGATGCGTTGCATATCACTTTTTTATACATTGCGTAACACTTTTTCCAGTGTGTGTGATTAAAAAACTGTGCTGATTTCAACACCCATTGTGCCAGTGCCAGAACAGAGAAAGTCTCCACACCTCTGCAGAGAGTTATGGGCTTTCCACGGACAAACTTTGACCTCATGAACTTCGCAATTTAAACAAAACTTCCTTTATTATTGTTTATGATGAGATTGCATTGAGAAAGTGGTGATAAGGAGGGAGGTCCGCCCTGAGTGCAGGAGCGC